TAACATCACGACACGTCTGCAAACAGAGACGCTGGAACAAAAACATCAAAACTACAAGAAACCAGCTGTAATAAGATTTAAATCCGATTTGAAGTTCACCAGAATAACCTCAAAGACAATACAGCAACTTATAATTGATAGAAAATGGTTTGACAACTTTTACTATATATTAGTCTTAATTAGTACTTTTTGTTCCATATTTATTTCTTCAGTCTATCGTTAAACCAGTCGTCAAAACAGATCAATCCTCCTCCTCACGATTCTGACAGGTGATTGGTCGAGCGACGACCTATAAGAGACTCCTGTTGACCATAAAGACCGAGTACGAGGACGTCATCAGTGAGCTGAAGAGGAGGGAGGATGAAGGCAGGAAGACTCAGAGGACTGTGGCATCATTAACATCACTTCCAAAATCATTGACGACCTGCCAGAGGAGAGCCGAGCAGCTGAGGGTCAGGTTAGTGGGTGAATCACAGCGTTCATATTTCATTTCTTTATTTCATGGGACAGACAAGGAAAAGAATCATCATGTTGTAAATGAACAACCGTTTGTTTGTGTCCAGGATCTCTGACCTTCAGAGTGAAACATCAAACCTCCAAGAGGAGAAGAAGAGACAGAAATCATCTGAAGGGCAGAGCTCGTGGATTCCAGGTATTACACCTGACTGTGTTTTATATGTTGCACTGTATTTACACAAATATCTGTAATGTAATTAAATGTACCAAAAATACAAATCTCCGTTTGTCAAGTTTCAGGCTACATGTCGTCCAATGATCAGTCGAGTAAAGCGTCACAGTGAGAGGAGCAGCTGTGGGTTAACCGACAGTCGTAGAACAGACACAGGCCTTTAGTTTAAAGAAACTCTTAGTACTTCTTGTTGGAAAGTCAAGAAACAAACTTACTCCAAAGACTCCAAAGAAGTACAACAGCTATAATAGACATGAACTTTTATTTCAGGAAAATGTCTGAACTTCAGTTCAAGGTCTGACAGCAGCAAAAAACACAAAAAATGACGACAAAGATACTGAAAACCACAAGCGATGGATGAAAAACAACTCTAAAGACTCAAAACCACCACGAAGAGATTTGAAATGAATTCTCTCTTTCTTTCATTCTGTGTTTCTCTTTGTTGAGTCGTCTGTTTGTCTGTGTCCACCGTCTCGTTGTCCGTCCACTTCTTAACTGAGAGACTGAGTCTGCGTCACCACTTGTTCTCTCAGGTTTGACTGTGGCTGAGTCTGAGGATCCTGAGGCTCTGGACGAGCACCTGAGGCGTCTCGAGGCCCAGAGAGCTGCTCTGCTGGACAGGAAGAGTCGCTGCGTCTCTCTGGAGGTCAAAGGTCGGCTAGACGCCGAGCTGCAGACCGCCGAGTACCACAGAGAAGAGCTGAGCACAGAGAACAATCGGCTGAAAGTTCTGTAAGAGTCAAAGCTGCTGCTGCTCTCTGTGTGTCGACTGAGTTCAGGAATATTTAACCAGCTTTAAGACGAAGACACGAAAATAGTTATAGTTTTAAAAACAATCAAAATCTTGGGCTCTCATGAAAACATCTTGATGTAGACGGTTTCATGTGGACGTTGTTTTTCTTTCTGTCGCAGATTCAAGCGTCTGAGATTTGTGTCTGACCATTTGTCTCGCTGGGAGGAGCAGGAGCAGGTTCTGCTGGAGGAACTCCTGGGTTCTACACTGGAGAACATCAGACAGACCAGCGGTGAGACACTGATGTCAACGCATTTAGATTTAATCTGACCACAGTGAATACAAAATGGACGGAGACTCTGGTTTCTGAAACCTGTATGGTCCCGTGATGACCAGCAGGGGGCACTGGTAGTTTCTATAGAAAATGTCTCTTCTCACTTTAGAGCGTCGGTAAACTTTGTCCTCAGGAGGTTTTGTCTCAGTCTCTAGTTTAGAGTCTTCAAACAGCTGATGTTCATTTATCAATTAAGATCATTTAGAGTCAAAGAGACCAGAAAAAAAACCAAGATGGACAAATGTGACGGACAAAACAAACCTTCCAGAACCTGTTTGACCTCTTCAACAAAACACTGACACGAAGCCTCAGTGTTCTCGTGTTCTCAGACCTTTTTATTGGATCATTAGATTAAAATACGACTGGACTCAAACTCTTCTTCTGATCGTTCTGCAGTGACGGACGATGACAGCTTCAGTCCCGAGCTGTTTGGGAACGAAGAGCCGACCGGAGTGGACGAGTCCGACCTCGTGGCAGGTCACCTGGACAGGTGCTGCGTTCACAGACGAGTTTGTGGGAACGTTCGTCTGAACTCTCTCTGAATATCTCTCCTCTCGTTCAGGTTCGCTGAGCTCTTTGACTCGGCTCAGTACGAGGAAGCTGCTCTCGTTGCCGCCAGATCTCCTGAAGGAGTCCTGAGGAACGTCGACACCATGGAGATGTTTAAAGGTCAACACACACACACACACACACACACACACACTCTAGACTTTTGTAAACGATGACACAGACTCTCCTCCTGATTAGTTTTACAGTCTATTTGAATCACATGACCAGTTTACGTGAACGGTCATGTGACGTGTGTTTTCAGGTGTGGACGTCTCATTCGGTTTTCTCTCCTCTCAGGTGTGACGGCCGCCCCGGGGTCAGTCCCCCCTCTCCTCCTCTTCTTCCAGTCCCTCCTGATCACCGCCCCCCCGGGCGTCCCGCTGTCGGCTCCTCTCTCCCTGCACTGCGTCCTCTTCGCCCTGTGTCACGGTGCCTCGCAGCTCGTCACCCACGCCATCACCCAGAACAAGTGAGCACGTCAACCAATCATCAGAGAGAGAGAAGTGTCCCTGCTGGTGTTTCAGGTCTTTCTCTTCTCAGACTCGTCTTTTCTGAACACCTGGGCGACGTCCTTGTGGAGCACGCCCTGGAAAACGCCAGCGTGGCCGACCTGTGTCTGACGTTGGCCACCGTCGTGTTCGAGGCCTGTGGGCTGAACAGGAAGACGGCACTGAGCATGTGCAGGAGAGGCCTCGTCCACAGCGCCGCCAAGTTCATGCACCACTGCAAGGACCTCACAGCTGGTGTGTGTGTGTGTGTGTGTGTGTGTGTGTGTCTCAGCTTTTATCACTTCCACAAATGTCTCTCTCTCTCTCTCAGACGACTTTATTTGGGTTCTGTGTCGCTCGCCCAGCCTCTCCCTCCTCCAGCTGTTGACGGAGCCTCGGTGTAGGGGCTGGTCGGCCATCTTGTCAGTGGGCAGGGCCTGTTCCACTCTGCTGGTTGACCCTCATCATGGATTGTTAGCGCTGCAGCTCCTGGACAGTTTCGTCAGCCGAGGTGCGTCCACACACGGACAATCATCTGAACTACACACTGTAAATAAAGATTAACAACCTGACAGCTCCTAAAGTGAAGTCTCTACTGCCCCCTGGTGCAACTGACAATGAAACTCGTGACCTCTGTGTCTCCGTCCTCTCAGGGGTTTTGGAGAATGTGATTCTGGAGGACAGTGACTCATCGGTGGACGTTTGGATCCATGTTGCGTCACTGTGCTCTGAGCTGAAACGACCCGACTTGAACCGGACCGTCATGTCTGTCCTTCTGGACCAGAGCGGGACCAGAGTCCTATCCCCGGACCTGGAGGGAGCCCGTCTCATGGAACATGTCTTCCTGTGAAGACGGAGCATGAATGTCCTCCGACACAACAACACAGAATACTCCTCTTCCTCACACAGATTGTGGTTGTTGTGTAAAAGCTGAAACGTGGACGGACTCTGGATCTTCTGTCAGATTCAGTCCAGTTGTTAACATTTCTGAACCAGTCGTCATCAGTGCCGGTCTCTGTGCTCCCTGACCTTTAACCTTTAACCTTTAGCTGGTGTCAGTGAAATGACTCAGACAAACGAAAAGCTGAAACACTGGCGACCAATGGCCAGCAGGGGGAGAACAGGTTCACAAACTGAAGCTGAGAGCAAAGGGGCCTTAAAATATAAAAGGAAAGAAATCAGTAATTATAATAATAATAATAATGATAATGATAATGATGACATCAATCCCATCCTGACATGACCTGAAGCTTATACAGGTTAAAAATACTTTATGGTCACATAGTAGGAATGATCTCATCATGATGTCACTGTAAGAAGAAAGAAGATGATGTCATGTGGTGAAATGTACAACCAATGAGAGCAGAGACACAATCTACTGTTATTTAGATTAACCAATCATTCCTCATGATTGAATGACGTCATTACTAGATTAGAAAACAGTTACCATTGTCCCACAGCATCGAACCTGTGATCCTTTTCATTCTTAAAGGTTTTACACGAGACAGAACTTATAATAACATTACAACTAGAATAATACTGAGACGGAACTATAACTGTAAAAGTCACTGATATTAAACCACTGACGTAGTAAAATACTTTGTTAAGTCTTTGCACTGTTTTATTCCTCTAGGTACTTTCACCAACTAAATACACAGTGAAGTTATGTTTCTCACTGAAGTGATGCTGAGAGAGGTTCTGGAAATTTGATGAGAGGAGCAGAGGTTGGAGGGGTTCTCTCTCTCTCCCTCTCTCTCTCTCCCTCTCTCTCTCTCTCTCTCCCTCTCTCTCCCTCTCTCTCTCCCTCTCTCCCTCTCTCTCTCTCCATGAAGTGACCGTTTGAAGCACAAAGACGATGAGATAAAAACAACTGAACGAAGAGGGAAAAAGATGCAAAGGTGCTGATTCACAACTGCCTGACTTCACCACATCATATTGATCTCCTGCAGTGTGTGTGTGTGTGTGTGTGTGTGAGAGAGAGAGAGAGTGAGAGGGGAGAGTGAGAGATGCTGACCCAGCATGACACAGCGTATTTTCTCTCTCTGTCACTGTCACTTTCAAACCCCATCTACTTCTCCCAGGATGCCACTGTGAAGAGTGAGACGCCATCAAACCTCAACGAGTCTCCAGATGTGAGACGTGACTGAGTCGTCTGAGGTTCATGTTCATGTGTGGAGCAGATCTCAGGTGTGATTTTACACTGAGGACGAAGAGTCAAACTCAGAATGGTCCTCACAAAAATAACAACACCAGCCTCAGAGGGGTGTGTGTGTGTGGGGGGGGGGGTGTTACACAGCATTTTTAACTTTCCATGCAACTGATGCCTGGGTATTTATAACTCACACACACACACACACACAATTCAACACCATCATGCCTCACACAGCAGAAATATATCTCCATGAGACTTAATCCACGATGGAAACATCCACTGGAATCAACACACACACACACACACACACCACATGCCCATTCTTGATACCCTCAGTCATGGGTTTGTTGGGGGGGTGGGGGGGCTAGAGAGATTAAGTTTGACAAGGTGTGTGTGTGTTTGTGTGTGTGTGTGTGTGTGTGTGTGTGTGTGTGTGTGTGTGGACTGAAGGGTACAGATAGATTGACAAACTGACGATTCAGATCTGACTTTAGTCACGAGACATTCTCGACGACCCCCCGGTTCTTCTCACACATTATCATACGTTGTGCTGCTCTCTCTCTGAAACAGACACATTTATATTTACCATGTAGACTCCAGGCTGTTCTCTGTGTAACTCTGTCTCCTGTCCGAGGTGAGTTTAACTCCCTGCTCCTCTGCAGCTTCCTCTGAATGAACCTCACTGATCACTCTTGAGAAACTGAGGAGGAGAAAACTAGAATGTTTCTTTTATCACCTTGAATTATTCTCTGAGGAATCAGTGAAAGTATTTTAAAAAAGAAATAGATTTTTAAAAAACATCCTGAATCCACAACTAATCTAACAAGTTGTCTCGTGTCCCATCCTTCAGTAGCTTCTGTGTATTTCTGCAGATAAACAAACACAAAGTCTCCAGTGATGCTGCGACTCTGTGAGGCTGTATCAGAAAGTGATGAGGGATTCATCCTCTGGGGATCATGATCGACTGTTCCAGTTCAAAGTAGATGTTGAGATATTTCACAGAAAAAGTGAAGTGAGGGAAAGGTTCCACGTGGAACGAGAAACCTTTCCCTGTGTTTCCACAGCAGGTATCAGGATCTAAATAAAGTTTCAGGTAAATCTTTCAACCCTGAAAAGGTCCCTGGTCACAGGTTAGTACTTTTTAGAAGTTCAGGAGCTTTGGAGTTTTGCAGGGCTGAAGATTTGTGGTTTGTCATTTCACTGACCTTCTTTAAAAACCTGGAGCATCAAACAGTTTTGAGCCTCGTGTCTCAAAAAGAAAGTGTTCACTCTGAAGCACACCATCAACCCCCAGAGGCCGAGGTCCCTGAACGCAGCATCTGCATGTGGCAGAAACACAGAATCACAGTCAGTGATTCGTCATCCTCAGCAGACTGATGATTAACTGCTCCACTCTCTGAAGTAGAATTACTTCACACTTGTTTATTTTTTCATTATGTTCTGCTTTAGATTTACTATCTGGATTTCACAAATGAATTCAGCATTTTCACAACATTTCATTTAGAGTTTTAATGACTTTGCATATTTGCATTTTAGATTTTCTCCGGTGGCGTTACGGTTTAAAGTGCTGACAACATCAACCATCGACCGCATCATCAAATTTAAGCATAAAATCTCATATGAATGTACATTATTGTTAAATATCATCAATTATAATTCCATGGGATATGATTATTTTTTGGTGGATTAACATTTAAAACCACAAAGCAGGTGTGAGAGGACATTTCAACATGATTCTTAAACTTTATTCAACTTTCAACTTTACTCTCAACATTTCAACTTATTTCTTGATGTTTTAACTTTAGTCTCAACAATCTAACTTCATTCTGTCTTCATGTTCTATAGAAAGCTGGACCTTGCTCCTCTCACTTCCGTTTCTGCAGCTTCAGGACAACATGTGAAATAGCACATGAAGTACAGAACTCAGTAAAAGTACGTGGTCCTGCAGAAGTTATGTAAGAAACTTTGAGTCTGACTCAGTTTTCTGCTCCTCCTCAACTTTTCAGGTCTGGTTGGGGGCGGGGTCTCCCTATATGAGGGCTCTGGTTGGTCCCGGTCCGCGTCACTCAGAGCTCATCCCGCAGGTGATTGGCCAGCGGAGTTCCTCCACTTCTGAACTTCACGCTGATTCTCGAGAACTCGGGTCCGACTCTGGAGCAGCTGCGGTGGGGTGCGCGTGTCCTCGTTTGTCCGGTGTGAAGAAGTAAAACTCACCTGAAGGAGTTACCGGCACCTCGTCACAGCTCGTCCCGGTGGAAGTTTGTTACAGGCGGCGACTGAGCCCACACACACACCGGGTCTGAAACTTTATCCACCGCACGAGACACTTTGTGAAGAGAAAGAAAAATGGCAGACACCGAGGATCAGCAGGTCTCCTCCTCCACGGCTCTGTTCAGCGAGGCGATGCACCACTACCAGGCCGAACCGGACCAGCCCAGACAGGACCACTTCAGCCTGGACGACATCGTGGACCTGGTCGGCGGAGCTCAGGACGCTCTGGTGCGCCACATTGCCGAGGACAGTGCGCCACACGAGGTCACAGAAACTCCATTCGCGCCGGGGAAGCTGCTGGAGCCAGAACCGGTGCCAGAGGTGGAGGAACCGGAGTTCGAGGAGGAAGAACCCGAGCCCGAGGTGGAGGAGGCGACCCCGGACTCCACCAGCGCTTGTTATGCTTCAGAACCCCTTTTAATGGCAGACTTGCCCATCATCGAGGCCCTCAAACCCGAAACCGAGATCTCAAAGATCGCACCGGAGCCACAGGCTGCCCCCGAGCCAGAACCTGCCCCGGAGAGCGACGCCCTCCCAGCGGCTGAACCTCTGAAAGCAGCCCCAGCCCCCGCAGAGGCAGCAGAGCGACCTGCGGTGACGGAGGAACCACCGGCTCCAGCATCTTGTGAGTATCTCAGCGGGGAAATGACGGTGAATGAAAGTGGGAACTGGTTTGAACATTCGAATCAGATTTATAAACTGAACATCTTCCACCGGAGTGAAGGAGATCCAGCCGGGCTGGGTGTTAACGGTATTTTTTAATCATCATCACCGGTTTCCGTGCCTCGTATGAGGGTTAGCATCGTGTGCTCAGCCAGACGCCGACGTGAAGGTGAATTTATGCGGCGAAACATCAACCTTTACTCGGTTTGACCAACTGAACCCACCGCTGTGCGTCGAATCCAGTGTAACTGCGTCATTTTCCGAACATTATTGAGTGTTTGTCGCCGGTCGCGGTGCAGGTTAGCCCGGTTAGCTGCTTCTGCTACCCCGGGGCGAGCGGATGGTGTGTGATGGGGAGCAGCCGTTCACCGCCTGGACGTGAATGAAGGAGCCAGACTTTTAAACACGTTTAGTTTTTATTCGCCCTGAATGAAACCAGCACGAATCCACATTTCCTGCCTCTTTTCCGGGTCTGAGCGGTGCCGGAGGCGGCAGCGTGGCCCCGGGTCCCGCTGAGCTGCAGCGATGCGGCCCACCTGTTCTCACCGACCAGCGTCACGTCAGCTGTTGACGGGACGAGCCGCTGATTCCCCCCGTTTATCCTCCACCGAGCAGCGAACATCTCCCTCCATTACCCCGAATATGTTTTTATATGATTCTGAACCACTTCCCCGGAAGATGTTCACTCAATCCCCCGTTTCAGATGTCACCGTCCGTCTGCTCGGTGCCGCTACCCGCTGTTGCTAACCACGGTTCCATTATCGGACACCGTCCCCTCTCTTGCTCTGCGGCTGCTGCTCGTCATCAGCAGCAGATTGGGTGAACATCCGCATCCCTCCCGTGAGCTAAACCTCTTAATAACGGATAAAAACACGTGTGTGTTCCGCCTGCAGCCAGGTGGTGCACGGTGCTAAGCTAATCACGTCACACCGCAGGCCCAGTTGTTTATTAACCCAGGATGTGGCCGCGTTAACCCGGGTAGAACCGAGCACATGTGAGGTGTGTTGCATGTCGGACACTCGGATGAGGCGAGAAGGAGTGGCCCGTCAGACACCGCCGTGTCCGACGATGGATGCACGAGGAGTTAGCGGCTCAAGCTGTAACCCGGAGATTAGTCACAACAAAGGAATCCGCTCTGCGTCCACTCCCTGTCGGCTCCTCTGCGGCTCCGCATCCCCCCCCCCCATCACCTCACCTCACCTCTTTTCAATCACACGATACGAGTTTTATTCTGTTACCGAGTCATTCAAACCCCCAGTTTTACCTCCATCTCCGCCCGAACCAACCCCCCTAACCCGGCTGCAACTCAGCCACAGGCCCGTGTCCTCCACATGCGGCCCCCTCTGCTCTGGATCCTCCTCAAAAAGCTTCTCCATCGTGTCTGGACTCGTTGTGACTTGTGATTTGTAGCAGGTGAATATCGGAGCCTTGTGGTTCTCTGACATGTGTGAGGTAAACAGGCCTGTCTGGGCTCCAGCAGGCAGCGGGGGCAGGGTGG